CTAAGAGTTCGCATGCCGCAACTAAGGAGCCTGCGAGCCGCGACTAAGTCCCGGCACAACCAAATAAATAAATAAATAAGTGAAGTCAGAATGATAAAATATCACCATTTTGCAACTTCTAATGGAATAATGGATCTAGGCAATCAAGAGCTTCTAGTATTTTAAAAAATCACAACTAAATATTTTGCATCTTCCTTTGTAAGTATCTAACCCACCTATGAATTAGTTTTGAAAAAAAAAAAAAGTAAATATGACTCTGTTCAAGCTTCCAGACCAGTTTATAGGAAATACAGGAAACAAAGGAACATGATAAACACCACAACACATGTCTAGAAAAATCTAGACTGTGTGAAACTCCTCAAGGCCAAAGATCTGGTCTCTTCAACAAATATATTGCAAATAAAAAAAATTAAAAAGAGGGGGGATCCTGTAGATTAAAACAAACCAAGTATTATACATAGAAACAAATTGCAATGCATGGACCTTATTTGAATCTTGATATGAACAAGCAAACTGCCTCCCCCCGCCGAAAAAGAAAAAGACAAAAAATCTGGCACAATCAGGGAAATTTAAATACTGACTAGATATTTGATAATATTAAGAGCTATTTTTAATTTTTAGGAGTGATCATATATTTTAAAAGTCTTTATCTTCTGGAGATGTATACAAAAATATTTACAGACGAAGAGTTACGATGTCTTGTATTTGCTTCCAATTAATCCAGTGAGGATGAGAAGAGAGAGGGAGGAGGGAGGGTGAACACTAAGTTGATAATGTTGAGAATTCATGATGAGTGCACAGGGGTCATTTTACTGTTCTATTTTTGAACATGTTTGAAATTTTTCATATTAAAAAGGAAAAAAATAAAAAGATATATATCTACACACACAGAGAGTATAGATTACATTGTATTCCTCAAGGGAAGATTTGTATCTAAGTTGGAAAGTACTTTAATGCTTATAAAGGGTATTTGAAGACTACTGTTAGTAGAAAAAGATGGGAAAACTAAACTCATTGAAATGAAAATTTGAAAATGTATAATTCAAAACTGAAGGAAATAATTTAAGAAAAATATTTAGCCTGAAATTTAGGATGAAAAATGGAAGAGGTGAAATTACCCAGAAGTCGTAGGAGACAACACTAAATGAGCTTGTTAACAAAGCTGACCTCAGCCTAGGCTAATACCAGTTTATGGGGTAAAAGATGAGTTTCCAGGATCTACCCTTTTATTATTATTATTAGAGTAAAAGAAATACATCGTAAGTTGACATTTCAAGACTCCTTGAACACCTCTTGACTCTGAAAATAACTTGCGATCTAGTTTCATTAATGCCAGCAGGTGGCGTGTTTGTTAGCTTTAATTTTTTCAAGCTCCGAAAAATTTGAGAAGCAGTATGAACATGTGAAAATAAGAAATGCTCTTTTTTCATTCTTTATATTTCGCTTCTCTCGGGGAAAATAATTTATAAGGATACAAATGAAATAAACTCTGTTTTTCTACTTTTCCACCATATTGAGAGCTTGAATTTTGTAGTAAATTGCTACCTGCTTTCACTTTTTCTATAGTGAAATATATCTGATTCAAATCCCAAGCCATTGCCAGTCTCAAGATGGCATTGGTCAAGAGCTAAACTACCGGGAATCAGAAAGCCAGGTGTATCTTCACAGTGTGCTAAAAAACAATGTGTTATGGCTTGTGTGCTGAGATTTTATGTTGCTTTCAGTGCCACTGAAAATTTCCCAGATAGGACCAAAGTTTCAACTTAGCCTGGAACAATCTCTACACTCACCCTTGTCTAGCTCCCCAAAGAATGTCCAGGGCTGAGGAAGGTCTGGTGCTCTGCTTCTCTCGGGGTAAGCCCTAAGCAGACAGTTTACTGATGTGAAACCTCTGCTGAAGGACACAAATCGACCTCTTGTTAGTACTCTAGACGCGAGTGTCCTCAGAATCTTTAAAAGAATCCGGAGGTCTCTGAGAGGAAGTTCAGTGAAAATCCCCATTCCCTACCCCTTTGGGTTTGGGACTGATTTGCTCTAAATGGAGATGAAAAATGACCCCACGTATTTTGTTGTGTTAGCATGCTCCAAGTTGGAGGAGGGGGACACAGGTCATTTAGTTTCTGACAAAGAGATACCAAATCATCAGTGCCCATTACAAATTCATTCAACAAAGAAAGTATTCATAGTTGACCTTATTGTGAGAAATATTTCAGACATGGTAGTGCTTGTTTCTAGTTTAATCAAAATGCTAATTCTTTTTCCCCCACTGAATCAACCTCTTTTATTACTATTTCTGGAAACTTTTATTCTGTAATATATCAGACTTCTTGCAAATAGAAGTTGTTTAACTTCATAGAACAATTTGAGAATAATAACTTCCATAAGGCTTTTCAATCAAACATGAAAGAATGTCTTTTTTCTTTTATAGCTTTCTTGTTTACAATACCCATCACAAAATTTCAAGAAATTCATAGTACTATGAAAAGGAAAATAGAGATTACCTATAATTCCACCAGATTTTTCTTTTCTTTTTTTTTTTTTTTGGCTGCACTGCACGGCTTGTAGGATCTTAGTTCCCCGACCAGGGATTGAACCCAGGCCACAGCAGTGAAAGCACCAAGTCCTAACCACTGGACCACCAGGGAATTCCCTCTTCCAGACTTTTAAATATGCATCATATACTTTTTTTAAAAATCAATTAATTAATTATTATATTTGGCTGCATTGGGTCTTCGTCGTTGCACGCGGGCTTTCTCTAGTTGTAGTGTGCAGGGGCTACTCTTCCTTGCTGTGCGTGGGCTTCTCATTGCAGTGGCTTCTCTTGTTGCAGAGCACGGGCTCTAGGCACGCGGGCTTCAGTAGTTGTGGCACGAGGGCTCAGTAGATGTGGCTTGTGAGCTTAGCTGCTCTGTGCAGTCTTCCTGGACCAGGGCTCCGACCCGTGTCCCCTGCATTGGCAGGTGGATTCTTAACCACTGCACCACCAGGGAAGTCCCACATACGTTTTTTAAGTGAAATAGTTTGATGAATTTTTTAAACATTCTCTTTCACTTAATAATATATTGTGGACATCTTTGCATATTAATAAATATAATTATAACCACATTACTTTCTTTAAAAACACATGGAGGACGAAGCAATATTTATAGTCTTTAGGGATTTTCTTTAAATTTAGAAATAACATTCATAAAGTGTATAACGTTTCATGTATATCTCAATAAATGTTTACATATGTAAATGTCTTTGCTTGGGCTGCCATAACAAAGTACCATACTGAGTGGCTTAAACAACAGAAATTTATTTCTCACAGTTTTGGAGGTTGGAAAGATCAAGGTGCTGGCAAGGTAGGTTTCATTCTGAGGCCTCTTCTCTTGGCTTGTAGGTGGCTGCTATCTTGCTGTGTGCTCACCCCCTGACCTCTTTTCGCTTGTTGAGGGAAAGAGGGGGGCAGAAAGAGACTACACAAGCTCTCTGGTCTCTTCCTGTAAGGGCACTAGTCCTATCAGATTAGGGTTCCCTCTCTATGACCTTATTTAACCTTAATCACCTTAAAGGCCCTATTTCCAGTGGGGTCATACTGGGAGTTAGCTTCAGCATACTGAATTTGGGAGGGATTAGTCCATGGCACTAAAGCTTATTTTTTAAGAAGGAAGTTTTATATATACATCAAAATAAAGAATTAAAAGATTTTGTTGGATAATTTAGGAGAATGATTTATGTGGGTACTTTGGTATTCGTGAGAGCAAAGATTTTTGTCTTTTCTGTTCATTGCTGAAGTCTCATGTCTAGAATAGTGATTAACACATAACTGGTGCTCCGTGTTTACTGCATGAAAGACTGAATGTTTTCTTTTCTTTTTTCTGGAGGAGGGAGGCAGTATCACAGTTTAGGAGCCATAGATCATTAAGACAGATTGTCTTCATTGAATCTCAGCTCTATCACTTAACTAGTTCTTTTACCTTGGACAAGTTACTTAAACTCTCTGTGCCTTAGTTTTCTCTTCTGCAAAATGGGTATTTTAGGGTTGTTGTAAAGATTAAATTAATTAATAAATAGGCTTAAGCCATTTAGAGTAGTAGCTAATATGTAGTTGGTAGAAGTAGATACCTTGAAATAGGCAATACATGTTAGATATTTATATTTATGCCTAATTCTCCTTTTTATATATGTGGTCATAAACTAAGAAAATATCTTGTGAAGTTGGTAACGTGGAATTCTTGTTGCCTCTGCTTTTCAGGAAGAAATACTAGGGCACAGAGGTCAAATGACATGTAAATGTGTATCCTACTTGAATATTCAAAGTAAGGCAATATATTTGCATTTTCCTGGAATTGTTTATTATTTAGGATTTTTAATGCTTTACTTAATTGATGGTTTACAAGCTACAAACTTAAATTGAGCCCCCAAATTGTGTTTATGTATACAACAGCTATAAATTCACTAAGTTGTGGCTATATATAGTCTCTCATATTTTGGATCCTCCTTATGATTTAAAAAAAATACAACTTTATAGTCTCGATTAGTCATTAGGTATCTTCTCAGGCAATGGAAGCTGAAAGTACAAGTATTAACATGCAGAATCCTGCACATTTTTGAATGATGAAAAGGGATCCTCATTTAAAAAAATCAGGAATCTCTGCTCTAGTGGCTCTATATACACGAAAATTCTTGTATATCTTGATCTCTTAATCAGAACTGCAGGGAATCTCCCTTTTGGGCTTGCCTGGAACTGTGAAAACCAAAGCTCCACCTTTGGCCTAGGGGGTTGGAGGCTGGGCGTTCGTCCGAGATAAACTACAACTCCCAAGATTCCCGGGTGGGGAGCTCTTGGGAGTTGTGGTTCAGTGAACACAGCGGCACCAATGCCCCTGCACCTCCCCTCCCCCTTCCATCGCAACCTACACCCTGGGCTCAGAATCCGGATGAGTAAGTCGCCTGGTCATCTCTCTCGTGGGAATTTTTCTCGCTTTTCCATTTTTCTCTTTTGTTTCCTCTGTTAGTTTATTGTTAGGCACACGCAAGGGCTACTCGTCTGGAGAAGAGTCGAGACGGAAGAGGCGGGATCAAGCTCTAAGCCGGAAGGGGTGAACCTGGCAATGAAAGTGATCCGGTGTCTGTCGGGCTGAAACGTAGTGGACCACAGAAGGTTCAGACCTCCGTAAGGAAACCTAACGTCCTTTCTGTCTTTTTTTTTTTTTTTTTTTAACGTGCTCACAGTTCACTTCTCTTTTCTGGTCTTAAAAGTCTATTTTCCTTTTCCAGCTTTTTTTTTTTTTTCCCCATGGTGTCTCCCTCTGGGATCACTCCGTATACCGAGTTAGTGTGGCTTACACGTGATCCTCTCGTGCCGGCTTAGTGTCACTTCTGACTTGCCAAGGCTGAGAGTTGTCCCTAGAGTATCATTTTATTTTTAATTTTCATTTATTTTATTTATTTATTTTTGGCTGCGTTGGGTCTTCGTTGCTTCGCGCGGGCTTTCTCTAGTTGCAGCGAGCGGGGGCTACTCTTCGTTGCGGTTCGCGGGCTTCTCATTGCGGTGGCTTCTCTCATTGCCGATCACGGGCTCCAGGCGCGCAGGCTTCAGTAGTTGTGGCATGAGGGCTCAGTAGTTGTGGCTCACGGGCTTAGTTGCTCCGCGGCATGTGGGATCTTCCCGGACCAGGGCTTGAACCCATGTTCCCTGCCTTGGCAGGCGGACTCTTAAACGACTGGAAAAGAGTCACCAGGAAAGCCCCTAGAGTATCATTTTAATCCTGTTACTGTCGGGGAGTGATGGAGAAGGCTTGCTATTCTCAGGTATAGATAAACCTAGCAGATAAATGTCTTGGGATTTACTTAACATTGAGGTTCATGACCTTGAGAGTTGCTTTTTCTACTATTTCTAAAATGGAAATTTAGCTAGAGGTGTTTTAACAAAAATCTTTTTGCCATTTTTTTTGTTACATCCTTTTTCAAATGGACACACTTTCTGTGACTAGATGTTGTTTTAGACCAGGGTTCCTGGCCTCCTTAATCAATAGATATTGATCAGAGGCCAGACAAGAAATTCAGTCAAGGCTATATCGTGGCCCCTGCTGCAGCAGAGGGGAGTGAGCAGGTTCCTTACATGGGGTGAGGGTAGGGGTGTGTTCAGGGATCCAGCAGAGGGGTGGCTTAAGTGGTCTACCCATCCCCTTGGCTACGTTGTGTGCAGGGGGCATGCGCAGTACCCTGCTTTTGCTCCCCACTCTCTGCTTTTGCTGCCAGCTCTTCAGAGGTGCCAGTTGGGCTTTTTGGTCTCCTTTTATCTAGTTGTCCAGAATTTGCCCCAACTGCCCATGCACACAGTTATTTTTAGCCCGTATTTGTTTCTTTGTATTTTGTTGCTTAAGGAAACATTTGTCCAGGTGCAAGCATTGCAGCACTGCAGCAAAGGGTCCCGGGTCCCAGCTTGTCTCAATGTGAAGACAGGCAGAAACTCCTGCTGGAGGACTGTAACATTTGTGGCTACTGTGCCTTTGTGTACGCTTCCCGCAGTCCTTTTCTCAATGTGATTCAGTATGTTAAATTTCCTTAGTACAACCCTGCAAACTGTGAATATTTTAGAGACTATTCTGAATATTTTATTTCCTAGGAGATAACAATATCCAAGTTAGCAGACTTACAATGATCAAATGAGCTAATATATGAATACACCTAACGTAGTAGAAACACTGGAGACAATAAAGGTTGATTCTGATCAATTTTGACCCTTATTTCAACTTTGAACCTCAGGATTTTAGGGGCAAAGTATTTTTCTTAGAACACTTTATCTTCTCTTTCTTACTCAGTAAAACCATTGTGTACATTTGTTATCTCTTTTGATTATCTCTGTTAGAAGGAAGAACAGATAATTATTATTGTACATAACTAATTTCACCTAACATGTAATTTTTTAAAGTAATTTTTCTTCCTGATTGTAAAAGTAGTATGTGCTAAATGTATAGGAAACTTGGAAAACACGAAGAAGTAGAAAAAAAAAGGAAGCAAAAGGAATCCATCATCCCACAACTAGAGATCATCTTACTAACGTTTTGGTATGTTTTTAGTTTTCTTTTTTCAAAATAAAGCTCTTCCTCAACTTATGATGCAGTTATGTCCCCATAAACCCATGTATTCCATATACTGTAGACAAATTTGAAAACCTAATTGAGATTATATTGTTTTGATTCTGTTTTTTTCATTTAATATAATTATCATCATTGTCTTTTTTTTTTTTACCAAACTTTATACTTTCTTAGTCTGTTAGTATGTAAATTTTCCGTCCTTTAGGATCTCAGCTAAAAGGGAAGCAACTTCAAAGAGTGATTGCATAGTTGGGAATGAAAAGCACTGAAGTCTGAATAGGCAAGCTGCATTCACCTCAGCTCTGCCTCTATCTGGCAGAATGAATAATCATGATTAAGTTACTTGACTTCCTTGGGCATCTGGATACCTAAGAATTAGACAAGGAAGTAGTGTTTCCTTCAAACTTTAAAAATCTATTAATATACGAACCATCTAAAGTTTGCATGATTATTTCATACTTGTCAAGAGCTTATTCACACACTCAATTTTAGATTCTGGGTACTTTCTAGAAAATAGCTGATTTAACCCATTCTGTTGATATATTTATTAGTTACACTCCTACTCATTTGCCTTAGTTAATTATATATGTTGAATGGGTAGAAAACAGCACTACCTTCATTTATTTTGTTATATTCACAGATTTGAAGATTCGTTTTCTTTTTGTGGGTTATTGAATTTAGGGACTGTGTTTGGAGCTGGCTGAGGCAGTGAACTGAGCAAGATTTCTTGAGGCTCCTTCAGCTTTTATATCTGTGGAGTTGATATTTCTCAGATTGTGTTTATTTTGTTTCAGATGCTGAAATGAATCGTCACCTGTTTGTTTGGCTTTTTAGACATCCGTGTCTTAATGGTCACCACCAGTGCCATGTCCATCTCCATTCTCATCAACTTACACAGATACCTCTTGACACAAGGCTGTGGGTTTTTAGACGAAACAGGAATCACATTCTCCATTGTCTGTTAAGTGAGAATTGGTCCAGGAGATATTGTCATCAAGATACCAGGATGCTCTGGAAGCATAAAGGACTACAGAAATACATGGAGGACCTGAGTAAGGAGTACCAAACACTTGATCATTGTTTGCAGCATATCTCTGTGAGTGAAGGGGACCGGAGGTCCTTGAATCAACGGCATGCTGAGCTGGCTCCGCTTGCAGTCATTTACAAAGAAATTCAGGAGGCTGAACAAGCCATTGAAGAATTAGAATCAATGTGTAAAAGTAGGTAAAAGATGTGTGTGTACAAGTACAGGATTGATTTTCTAAGTTAAAGGTATATTGAATACAGTCTTTTAAAAAGCCTGCACATAGTAAGCCCTGCACTTGGAAAGGACAGGACTCTGTACTCTGGGTGTTTGAAGTATTTCAGCTACTAAAGAGCAACTACTAAGAGACCGAGGTCTTTGTGGTACTTGCCAAGACGCACTTAGGGTCTGGGAGACTAAATATTGACCTTTTCAGAATTTTTAATTTATTAATAGATCTTTATTGGGCACTGTCCTATGTGCTACATACCAGGGACACAAAAATACAATTCCTACCCCGTCAGAGGGCTTATATGGTATGGGTATTATTTCATCACCCCAAAAAGAAACCCTGCACCCTTTAGCCATCCCATGCCAATCCACCCAATCCCTGCCAGCCCTAGACAACCACTAATCTACTTTCTGTCTCTATACAGTTACTTATTTCAGGCATTTTATATAAATGGAATCATACAATATGTTACCCTATGTGACTGGCTTCTTTCACTTAGCATATGTTTAAGGTTCATTTATGTTGTAGCATGTTTCTGTACTTCATTTCTTTTTATTGCTGAATTATGTCCCATTGTATAGATATACCACATTTTATTTATCCATTCATCAGTTGTTGGTTATTGAGTTTTTCCACTGTTTTGGTTATTATGAACAATGCCGTTATGAACATTTGTGTACAAGTTTTTGTGTAGACATATATTGCTAAGTTGTGTGGTAACTCCATGTTTAACCTTTTGAGGAACTGTCAGACTGGTTTTCCAAAGTGGCTGAACCATTTTACATTCCATCCTCAGTGTATGAGCGTTCTGGTGTTTCTACATCCTCTCCAACCCTTGTGATCCGCCCTTTCGATTCTAGCCTTCCTGGTGTGTGTGAAGTGGTATCTTACTGAGGCTTTGACTTGCATTTCCCTGATTAATGGTGTTGAGTGTCTTTTTATGTGCCTATTGGCTGTTGTATATCACCTATGGTTAAATGACTGTTTAGATCCTTTGCCCATTTTTTAATGGAGTTGTCTTTTTATTATTGAGTTGTAAGAGTTCTTTATATTACAGATACAAATTCCTTATCAGATACATTATTTGCAAAAATTTTCTCCCATTCTGTCGGTTGTCCCTTGAAGCACCACAGTTTTTAATTTTGATGATGTTCAGTTTATCTTTTTTTTCTCTTGTTTGTGTTTTGGTGACATATCTAAGAAATTATTGCATAATCCAAGGTCACAAAAGTTCACATCTGAGTTTTCTTCCAAGGGTTTTCTATTTTTAGTCCTTACATTTAGGTCATTGATCTATTTGAGTTAATTTTATATATAATGTGAGAGGTGTTAATTTTTAATTTTAGTATCTCTTAATATTTTATTGCCTTAACATTTTTTCTTTTATGAAAAATTTCCAAATATACAGAAGTTGAGAGAAAAGTATAATGGACTAACCTGGGATTCAACATTTATCCAAATTTTTTTTTTTAAAGGACATGAGCCCTCTTTTTTTTTTTTATATTTATTTATTTATTTGGTTGCACTGGGTCTTAGTTGTAGCGTGCAAACTCTTAGTTGCCGCATGCATGTGGGATCTAGTTCCCTGACCAGGGATCGAACCCGGGCCCCCTGCATTGGGAGCATGGAGTCCTACCCACTGCGCCACCAGGGAAGTCCCAATCCAAATTTTGCTATTGGCTTTTATTTTTAATATTTATTTATTTGGCTGCACCGGGTCTTAGTTGCAGCACACCGCATCTTCAGTTGCAGCATGCGGGATCTAGTTTCGTGACCAGTGATGGAACCCAGGCCCACTGCATTGGAAGCACACAGAGTCTTAATCACTGGACCACCAGGAAAGTCCCTTGCTATTGGCTTTTAGTTTAATTTATAAACTTTCTTTTGTGCTCCATCCTGTTTCATTAAGCCTTAGAGATGTTAAGCAGCATCGAGGCCAGTCACAGCTATACCCGTAAAGTCCTGGATGTCCAAAGCCTTACCTTTTTCTGCCTCCTATTAGTGGTCTGCGAGTCTCTCACTTTATTTTGGCCATGAGGCATGCGGGATCTTAGTTCCCTGACCAGAGATTGAACATGTGCCCCCTGCAGTGGAATTGCAGAGTTCTAACCACTGGACCGCCAGGGAATTCCCTCTCACCTCTTTTAATGAGGATTATTTTTTACTCTTTCGCATAATGCCACTCAAATTTGTAATTAATTAGTTTGGGAAAGTTGCTTGCACATAATAGGAGCTTACTAAATGCTTTCCAAATTAAATTGACATAACCTCTTTCAGCCACGTTTGTATCATGTGTAATATTAGTAGATTGGATTAAAGTATTAGTAGATTGCTTCTAAAGTTTCTTCTACAATTCTGCTATTTTATAATAATAGTGATAATAGCTATGTTTACTAAGTCTTAGTATGTGCCAGGCACTAAGGTAAGTATTTTGCAAATATCTCATTGGAAATGTTCACAGTGACCTTATAAGGTAGGAATTATTATTAATATTCTCACTTTATAGATGAAGAAACTGAGAGGTTAAAATGCCAAAGGTCACTTAGCCAGTCAGGAGAGGAGCAGGAATTTGAACCCAATCAAGGAGACTCCACAGCCTCTGCTCTTATCCACTGCACAGTGATTCAAAGTCCAATAGGGTCTACCTCTGTAATGTATCTTGCATGAGTCCTCTTCTATTCTTTCCCCTAGTTTATATTTTCATTATATCTCAGTCCTAGATGATTACAATAAATTCCTAACTTTTAGTCTCACCTCCAAGCTTTCCCAGCCTAAGTACAACCTTAATCATATTTCTCTCCTGCTCTGAATTTCCAGTAACTCCCATTGCCTATAAATATAGATTGCTTGGCTTGGCATTTAATAGTCTCTGCTGAGTGACCCCCACCTCTCTGTGTAGTATATTAATTCCCTTTGCGTATTCTCCCTTCCAACCAAAACAGACAATCTGCCATTCCCTGAATATATTCAGACCATCCCATGTCTATGTCTTTGCTCATGTTGTTAACCCACCAATTTCACCTTCTTAAAGTTCAGTCTGCTTACAAAGTATGGCTTGAATATCATCCTTTGGCTTCACTCCCCTCTGTAAAACAAGTATGATGGCCTTTCTCTGTTTTATATTCTGATCCATTATGTAATTGTCTTAACTTCAGTCCCTTTCCCTGTTTTTTTTAAACGACATGAGCCCTCTTTTTTTTTTTTAATATTTATTTATTTATTTATTTGGTTGCACTGGGTCTTAGTTGTAGCATGCAAACTCTTAGTTGCAACATGCATGTGGGATCTAGTTCCCTGACCAGGGATCGAACCCGGGCCCCCTGCATTGGGAGCATGGAGTCCTATCCACTGCGCCACCAGGGAAGTACAGGGCCTGTGTCTTATTCATCTTTATTTCCTGCAGCACCAAACATAAGGTATAATAGACTCTTGAATATGTTGATACAGTGAAATTGAACTAGATTGGATCTTACCGTTCAGTAAATAATAAAAAGCCACAAAAATAATTTTATATGATTGCAGATCAGCAGGTTTTTCTGGTACCTCTGACCCGAGACTTATGTGCACAAGGTGAGGCCAGTAGCGATACTACAATTCTGCAACAGGTGATCCATAATTAGAATTGAGTTCAGATGGCACCTTATCTAGGAGCCTTCCTTAAGGGTTGAAGTCTGGGTTAGACCACCCTTTAGGCCTCGATGGCGCTGCCCACACCACATATTGTAATCAAGTGAATGTGTCCACCTTTCCCACCAGACTGAGCCACTTTAGCCCTGAACCATGTTTTATTCATCTTTGTGTCCCCAGCAACTGGCAGAGTATTTAGCACAGATTAAGTGTGAAATGTTGAAAGCAGGAATGAGGTATAGAATCCCGCCAGACCCCCATGACTTCCATGACTAGAAAAGAATTTTAAAGAGCTTTCTCTCCTTTATGAGTCTTCATTTCTATTTTCTTCTTTATTTTTAAGAATTAAAAATTTCTACCTCATCTAGCACACATCACCAGTGACAAATGGAATCTCTGGGCATCTAAAGCAATGGAGTCAAAGGTTATGGGATCCACCCTACTTGGCCACTATCTCATTGATAGCTTGTGTTATTAGAGCTCCATGATTTAACTTTTTGCTTTGAAATGATGTGAAAATGACCGTTCTTTCCATAAAGCAGAGGCTTGCAAGGATGTGTGGTTTTTTGACCCATGTGGTGTTTTTAAAAAATGTTTACTAAGTATGAACATTTCAAGAGGTTTCACAGTTTTAAAGAGGTCTTATTTCTGACTTCTCTTGAAAAAAAAAAGAGGAGGTTCTAGCCATGCTACATTACTCACAGTGTGCTGGGTAATGGCTGCCAGCTTTAGACAAGAAATGGTCACCCCAGTTTACCCTGAAACTTAGCTTATTCGGGTTTACATTTAGTTAGCCAGTCCCTTTTTAAACCTGTTTGATTTATCACTGATTTCTATAATTACTTACAGACATTCAAATCACCAGCTCATTGGGGCAAGATCGTATTTGTCTTCACACTGAGTTTTTTGGACACACTTAGCAAATACTTTACATTCTCTAACTATTCTGTTCTTTTGTATAATCCCTTGCCTTCACAACTGAAATAAAACCTAGTAGGTAGAGATTAGATAGCTATTTAAGAATTTCTTTGTAAGTATTTAAACGTTTTTACCATTATTTCTGTCGATGGTTTGTAGGTCTAAATAAAGAAGATGAAAAGCAGTTACAAGAACTTGCTTTGGAAGAGAGGCAAACCATTCTTCAGAAAATCAACATGTTATACAGTGAGGTATGTTTTAAGAGGTAAACTAATCTCAGCAATGTTAATGTAAAGGAATACTATTCTTGCTAGACTATGTTTTGCTGCTCAAAGTTATTTTCCAAACACCAGTTGATTAAGTCTTCTCTTACGATGATTGATAATATTGGGTTTAGTGCTGTCATTTACTACAGAATGAGATTGAAGAGATTGTGTTGGCAAGGAACGAAACCACCCGCCCCCCCCAGACAAAAGTATTCCAAAGCTGAATCTATTAAGTTACCAGACAAGGGAACACATGCTAGTGAAGAAATTTACTTCAACATGGAGTAGAGTCAGGGGGTTTTAAGTCTTAGAAAGAGGGAGTGGTACATGGTAACTGGGTTAATTAAGGATTGAAAATTTGCATTCAGGATAGAATGGGATGAATCCAAGGGCATAGAGACAGTGGGTTAATACAAGTCTTTAGTCCCTTCTAGCTCAATGGATGGTTTGTCTAAAAGAAAATGAAAATACGGTGCTATGTACTATGTTCCCCTTTGTCATATTTGCCATCCTCCTACCTTCAGTCTTCCCTACCCTGGGAATCCAGTAGAGAGACGTTTTTTCCTTGAAGTATAGTTGATTTACAATGTTATGTTAGTTTCAGGTGTACAGCACAGTGATTCAGATATACATACATCTTCTTTGTCAGATTCTTTTCCCTTATAGGTTGTTACAGAATATTCAGTATAATTCCCTGTGCTATACAGTAGGTCCTTGTTGGTTATATATTTTATATATGGTAGTGGATGTATGTTAATCCCAAACCCCTTTTCCCTTTGGTAACCATATGTTTGTTTTCTATGTCTGTGAGTCTATTTCTGTTTTGTAAATAAGTTCATTTGTATCTTTTTTTTTTTTAGATTTCACATACAAGCAGTATCATATGATATTTGTCTTTCTCTGTCTGGCTTGCTTCACTTAGTATGATAATCTCTAGAGGGACTTTTTGAGGATGAGGATGGAGGTATCAGTTATTGTTTTCACTGATTTAAACAGCTAGTCAAAAGCAGATGTAGGACGTCTGACTCTTAGTCTACTATTCTCTCCTGCAGGCTATATCATTTCTAGCAGAGATGGACTATTTCAAAAATTGTCGGTAGGGGGAATCATGACACATAGATACTTTCAGTTTGATTTGAAAGACCTTTTAGTAATAATAAAGTTGCTTCCCTTTTCTTCCTAAGAGGTAAGTTGGTTGCTTTCTTTATTAGAAAGCCCCTTTTTTTCTTGTCACACTGAGAAACTATTTGAGCCTTACCTCGGGAGTCCTCAATCTACTCTTTAAACAGCAACTCTGCTGAGAAGACAGGGCACGGCCTGGTGTCCGTCCGCTGTCATTTATTGTGGGAGAGAATATATAATCATATGTTAAAAGTCCTCATTTTCTCCAAATGAAGACTTTCAGAGCTTACTTCTTTCATTAGATGAAAGAAGCTACTGTTTAAGACTAATCAGAAGCAAAATTCGAAGAAAATTGAATGGAACACTGGCCTTTGATCTAAACTTTTGCATTTTAGAAAATTAAGATAATTTGATAGCATTGTAGAAAATATGCCAACAAGTAACTTCATTGTTAACATGAATCATCATTTATTTTAGGCTTAATTAGGTCTACTTATTAAAGCATTTTAGGACCAGACCTCTTTGAGATGCTCTATGATTTTGTTAATTACTGATTTTTTAGTATTTGGGGGTCTTTTATCTAAGTTCAAGGAATAGCAGTATGCCATGGAGAATATACACACTAATACTGATTTTTTTTTTCTTTTTCAGCTTCTCCAGAGTCTAGTGCCAAAGGAGAAATATGACAAAAATGATGTTATTTTAGAGGTGACATCTGGAAGAACTACTGGAGGTCAATAAAATAATTTTATCGTAAATGATCTTAAAAAATACTTAAATGTTACCTTGATATGACACACTGTAACTTTAAAAGTCTGTTAAATGTGTTTCACTTCGGAAGTAGTCATTTCTCAACTCCTAAGGGGTTTTTACTTAAGGAGGACTCTCTAAGAAATTTGTGCTGATTTTTAAAAAATTTTTTATTGAAGTATAGTTGATTTACAATGCTGTGTTAGTTTCTGGTGTACAGCAGAGTGATTCAGTTATAAATGAATATTTTTTTCATATTCTTTTTATTTTGGTTTATTACAGGATATTGAATATTTTCTATCCTACTGTGCTATACAGTAGGACCTTGTTGTTTATCTATTTTATATGTAGTAGTTTGTATCTGCTAATCCCAAACTCCTAATTTATCCCTCCCCACCCCCTATTCCCTTTGGTAACCATAAGTTTGATTTCTATGTGTGTGAGTCTGTTTCTGTTTTGTAAATAAGTTCATTTGTGTCATATTTTAGATTCCACATGCAAGTGATATCATATGGTGCTTGTCTTTCTCTTTCTGACTTACTTCACTTAGTATGATAATCTCTAGGTCCATCCATGTTGCTGCAAATGCCATTATTTCATTCTTTTTTATGACTGAGTGGTATTCCATTGTATATATGTACCACATCTTTATCCATTCCTCTGTTGATGGACATTTAGGTTGCTTCCATGTTTTGGCTATTGTAAATAGTGCCGCTATGAACATTGGGGTGCATGTATCTTTTCTTATTAGAGTTTGCTTCAGATATATGCCCAAGAATGGGATTGCTGGGTCATATGGCAACTCTATTTTTAGTTTTTGAAGGAACCTCCATACTGTTTTCCAGAGTGGCTGCACCAATTTACATTCCCACCAACAGTGCAGGAGGGTTCCCTTTTCTCCACACCCTTTCCAGCATTTATTGTTTGTAGACTTTTTGATGATGGCCATTCTGAGCAGTGTGAGGTGATACCTCATTGTAGTTTTGATTTGCATTTCTCTAATAATTAGCAACGTTGGGCATCTTTTCGTGTGCCTACTGGCCATCTCTATATGTCTTCTTTGGAGAAATGTGTGCTGACTGAATATTTTTATATTTTCTCTTAGGTGATATCTGCCAACAATTTACCCGGGAAATATTTGATATGTATCAGAATTATTCAAGCTACAAACACTGGAAATTTGAACTTCTGAATTATACACCAGCTGATTATGGTAGGTGTGTTTGAGGATTTGTCCATAGATGATGCTGGAAGTTGTTTTTCTTCTGATATTGATTAGAACCATGTTGTCCCATTTTTTAAAACATTTGACCTATATCTACTAAATACTGTGACATGGGCTCATCAATCACAGTGGCTTACTATAGTAGAATTCTTACTATGGGAGAAGAGAGTGGGAGGGAAGGAAGTATCCTCCTAGGAAGGAGTATCTGAATTAGAGAAACTTTCCCTGTGGAGGGTTGATATATGCCTTGCCTGAAAAATCATTGCTCTGTTGTTCAAAGCCAAGATGTATTAAGGTTTTTACTCTGAAGTACTAATGATGTGTTGGAGGTTTATGGGAATGCAGAAGAAGTTAGTCATTTGTCTTTATTTTCAAGAAGCTCCCACCCTAGTTGGGCTGATAAAAAGTTAGACAACATAAACAATAAGAACCAATGTGAGTCTTTAAACTTTTAAATACTCAAGTATGTTAAATCAGAACATCTGATAGTAATTCTTTTTTGTTCAATTCTCTTAATCCACCTGGAAGTTTTTGTCTGCTTGATCACACAAAGATACACTATAGTAGACAGAGGGCCGATGAATAATAACCCACAAATTATCAAAGTGGGGAAAGAGGATTCATGTAAGTTAAACAATTGAGGGAAATGAAAACAAGTATAGAGCATAAGTAAGGTTGTGTGTCATATGGATTTGAAATACAGCCAGTGGTTAGGAAAGGTGAAACAGGAGGGAAGGGGGCAGGGCGCAACCTTCGAATGAATGACATAGCCTGAGGACATGACATAAACTGATGAGAACCAAATGGGTCCAAGATGGTGGACAAGTCGACTTCCACTAGACCTTGAGCCTCAGTATATGCTCATTGTAATACATCAGCAAGCTAAATGACACACTGACTGGCGCCATGACAGTGCCAAGGCCAACCATAAGGATGAAAAATTGGGCGGTGGCCCAATTCCCGGAAATCCCCACCCCCTTCCCAAAATAGCTGGAATACTCCTCCCACTCATTAGCCTATGAAGTTACTCACCCCTTAAAAACTGACAACCCCATACCCTGGTGCTGCTCTCAACTCCTGAGATGGCCCACACTATATCTGTGGAGTGTGTATCTCTCTAAATAAATCCACTTCTTACTATCACTTTGCCTCTCACTGAATTCTTTCTGTGATGAGACATCAAGAACCTGAGCTTCATTAAGTCCTAAAACCAGGTGTGTGATCTCAGTTGGAAGACTGTGGGTTTTGGCCGGGTTTGAGTCCTAGCCATGTGGGTTCAAGTCCCAATCAGGGTTTAGGCTGGGTTCGAATCCCAGCACGTGGGTTCAAGTCCCAGTCTGAGGTACATGGTTTCAAAGGGAAGACCAACGAGAGCAGATGGAAGGACCAATTTGAGCAACAGCATGGTGGTGGGAAAGATCTTGCTGTGTGTGTAGAAGTGAGGAAGCCAATTAAACCAGAGGATATTTGTGATGAGAAGTGAGAGGAAATAGGTTCAAAAGAGTAGATTTTGAGCAGACGTTAAAGCGGGACAGGCCTTGATTGTTAGAGAGCTGTTGAAGATTTTGCTAATAAGAATATGATTTGATCAATATCTATTTTAAGAAGATTCTTTCTTTCTTCTTTTATTGAAGTATAGATGATTTACAATATGGTGTTAGTTGCAGGTGTACAGCACAGTGATTCAGTTATGTGTGTGTGTGTATATATATATATATATATATATATATATATATATATATATATTCCTTTTCAGATTCTTTTCCCTTATAGGTTATTACAGAATATTGAGCATAGTTCCCTATGCTATACAGTAAGTCCTTGTTGGTTATCTATTTTCTATATAGTAGTGTGTATATGTTAATCCCAACCTCCTAATTTATCCCTCCCCCCACTCTCCTTTCCCCTTTGGCAACCATAAGTTTGTTTTTAGAAGATTATTTTGACAGCAGTGTGAAAGATGGACTGAAGAGGCTAGATTTAAGGCAGATGGCAGAGAGGTTATTAGAGTAATCCAGGTATGACTAAGAGTTAGAACTGGGAGTAGGGACACATATGAGAGAACTTCAGATGAAGAATGAGCAAAATTTGTAACTGACAAGAGGATCTATTGCTGCCCACTATGTCCTGCGTGCAGTATGTGTCGTTTGATCTTCACAACCCTGGGTATTGTTAATCCCATTTTACAGATGAAGATCCAGGCTCAGAGAGTAAGTAACTAATCCAAGATCAGACAGTAAGTGATGGCAGTCCTGGGATTAGATTTAAGTCTGTCTGATCGAGAACCACACTACATCCCATTAGTTTATTCTGATACAAAGGAGATGAGCCACAGGGATCTAATCTTTCTGGCTGGGAAGATTGTGATATGCATTCATGCCATTGAATGGAATAGAAGTTGGAAGGCCGTCTCCATTTGGGCAGAACAGTGAAAGTTGTTTTTGAATTATTATGTGTGTTGTTATAGTGAGCGTTCCTTTAGAAATATCCAGTAAATGCTGAAGTCGTGTAGCCAGAGCTTTGGTGAGAGAATAGAATTGAGGAGAGCGATTTGATAGCTGTTAGCACAGAGATAATGTCTGATACTGAGAGAGAATAAGTGAGGGAGAGTTTATAGAGAGGGAATATTCAGGGTACCAAACGCTGGAGAATGGCCATATTTAGAAAGATAAACTAGTTGGCAAAAGAAAAAGAGGGGTCAGAGAAGCAGGAAAAGGGATGAGAACAGTATAATATTTTGGAAGCAGGAGAGGAGAGAGTTTCAAGAATGTAATGAGAAACACCAGCATATGAAAGAGAGAATGTAATCGCTGAGACGTATATTTTGAATTCAACTTTCAATAATGAAAGGGAGATGAACTTAATAACAGGAAGAGAGATTCCGTTTCAGGTGCCCAGAGCAGCCCAAACAATGGTTGGGAAATCTTTCTTTTAGATACATCAACTCAGTAGCAAAATAAAATAAAGACATTTTAGAAAGTAAAAGGACCTTTTATTTTATTTTATTTTATTTTTTTATTGGAATATAGTGGATTTACAATGTTGTGTTAGTTTCAGGTGTACAGCAAAGTGAATCAGTTATACATACACATATATCCACTCCTTTTCATATTCTTTTCCCATATAGGCCATTACAGAATATTCAGTAGAGCTCCCTGTGCTATACAGTAGGTCCTTATTCGTTAAAAAATATGGAATGCTTTGCAAATTTGTGGGTCATCCTTGTGCAGGGGCCATGCTAATCTTCTCTGTAGCGTTCCAATTTTAGTATATGTGCTGCTGAAGTGAGCACAAAAAAAGGTCTTTGATTAAAAAAGAAAAAATTTTCAGGAATTCCCTGGTGGTCCAGTGGTTAGGACTTGTTGCTTTCACTGCCAGGGCCTGGGTTTGATTCCTGGTCAGCGAAGTAAGATCCTGCATGCTGCATGGCGCAGCCAAAAAATAAATAAGATAGAGAAAGAGGAAAAGATACCTGCCCTATAAAGTATGTATATTAAATTATATGTATGGGCTTCCCTGACGGCACAGTGGTTAAGAATCCGCCTGCCAATGCAGGGGACACGGGTTCAAGCCCTGGTCCGGGAAGATCCCACATGCCACGGAGCAACTAAGCCTGTGTGCCACAACTACTGAGCCTGCACTCTAGAGCCCACAAGCTACAACTACTGAGCCCACGTGCCACAACTACTGAAGCCCGTGCGCCTAGAACCCATGTTCCACAACAAGAGAAGCCACCGCAATGAGAAGCCCGCACACTGAGAAGAGTAACCCTCACTTGCCACAACTAGAGAAAGCCCACACGCAGCAACAAAGACCCAACGCAGCCAAAAATAAATTTAAAAATAAATTTATAAAAAATTATATGTATATGTATTTAATGTTTAATTGAAACATTAAAAATCACAGAGATACAGCACTAACAGCTAAGATTGGAAAAAAATACATTTTCATGCAAAAATTCATATATCAAATGACTTAAAGTCTTGTAGTTTTGTGACCTTGGGACAGATAGGGGAAATACTCAACCACTACATAAATAACTGAAACTAAATAATTACAAGATAGTCATTGTGGAAGCAATGGAGGGTGATGGCTCTTGATATGTAGTGTAGGTCTGACACTATTATTCTGTATTCCTGGTACCTAAGGAATTGAAATATTTTTCAGGTTAAAGGGAGTCTATGAAATATATTACATCATCTCTTCCAACAGATTAATGTTTATAAATATGTTTTGTTATTCTGTGCTCAACCGTTGAATTCAGGGATAGGTCACTTAAAGTAATGTGGTGGTTAATTTTGTGTGTACAGAAGACATTTCACCACAACTCTTGAGAAATAAATTTGTGAAGGGAGCCCTGGCATCCTTGAAGAGCTCTGTGATTGCTTTTCTCTGTAGCCCAGACCTTACAGTGGGAACTGTCTTGTTGTCTGGCCAAGGACCTCAAGCTGATGATCCAGTTTCTGGATCCAGCTGCCCAATTGCAGCCAGTAAAGAGGGCAGAAAAACAGGTTGAATCACTCCAAGAGTATGCAGTCAGCAAAACCAGACCATGGGGGACTTCCCTGGTGGTTCAGTGGATAAGACTCCATGCTCCTAATGCAGGGGGCCTGGGTTCAATCCCTGGTCAGGGAACTAGATCCCACATGCATGCCACAGCGAAGATCCCACGTGCTGTAACTAAGACCCAGCACAGCCAAAATAGGTAAATAATAAATAAATATAATTTTTAAAAAAGAATTGTTTAAAAAAATTAAAACTCTCCAGAAAGTGGGCATAGAGGGAACCTACCTCAACATAATAAAGGCCATATACGACAAACCCACAGCAAACATCATTCTCAATGGTGAAAAACTGAAAGAATTTCCTCTAAGATGAGGAACGAGACAAGGATGTCCACTCTCACCACTATTATTCAACATAGTTTTGGAAGTCCTAGCCACGGCAATCAGAGAAGAAAAAGAAATAAAAGGAATACAAATACAAACTGTCACTGTTTGCAGATGACATGATACTATACATAGAGAATCCTAAAGATGCCACTAGAAAACTAGAGCTAATCAATGAATTTGGGAAAGTTGCAGGATACAAAATTAATGCACAGAAATCTCGTGCATTCCTGTACACTAATGATGAAAAATCTGAAAGAGAAATTATGGAAACACTCCCATTTACCATTGCAACAAAAAGAATAAAATACCTAGGAATAAACCTACCTAGGGAGACAAAAGACCTGTATGCAGAAAACTATAAGACACTGATGAAAGAAATTAAAGATGATACCAACAGATGGAGAGATACACCATGTTCTTGGATTGGAAGAATCACTATTGTGAAAATGACTATACTACCCAAAGTAATCTACACATTCAATGCAATCCGTATTAAATTACCAATGGCATTTTTTTACGGAACTACAAAAAATCACCTTAAAATTTGTATGGAGACAAAAAAACCCCGAATAGCTGAAGCAGTCTTGAGGGAACAAAGCAGAGCTGGAGGAATCAGACTCCCTGACTTCAGACTATACTACAAAGCTGCAGTAATCACGACAATATCGTACTGGCACAAAAACAGAAACATACATCAATGGAACAAGGTAGAAAGCCCAGAGATAAACCCACGCACCTATGGTCAACTAATCTATGACAAAGGAGGCAAGGATATACAATGGAGAAAAGACAGTCCCTTCAATACGTGGTGCTGGGAAAACTGGACATCTACATGTAAAAGAATGAAATTAGAACACTCCCTAACACCATACACAAAAATAAACTCAAAATGGATTCAAGACCTAAATGTAAGACCAGATACTATCAAACTCTTAGAGGAAAGCATAGGAAGAACACTCTTTGACATAAATCAAAGCAAGATCTTTTTTGATCCACCTCCTAGAGTAATGGAAATAAAAACAAAAATAAACAAATGGGACCTAATGAAACTTCAAAGCTTTTGCACAGAAAAGGAAACCATAAACAAGACAAAAAGACAGCCCTCAGAATGGGAGAAAATATTTGCAAACAAATCAACGGACAAAGGATTAATCTCCAAAATATATAAACAGCTCATGCAGCTCAATATTAAACAAACAACCCAATCCAAAAATGGGCAGAAAACCTAAATAGACATTTCTCCAAAGAAGATATACAGATTGCCAACAAACACATGAAAAGAATGCTCAACATCACTAAATATTAGAGAAATGCAAATCAAAACTACAATGAGATACCATCTCACACCGGTCAGAATGGTCATCATCAAAAAATATACAAACAATAAATGCTGGAGAGGGTGTGGAGAAAAGGGAACCCTCTTGCACTGTTGGTGGGAATGTAAATTGATACAGCCACTATGGAGAACAGTATGGAGGTTCCTTAAAAAA